GCTACGTGAAAAGAGTTTACATACCTCCTTCACTTCCTTGAAAATGCCTACAAATTCTTCATTGATGGCTAAACTTCTACGTTCAATATCTCCACGTAAATTTCTTCGAGTCCGCAAACTATTTTCAACAAAAAAGGTTGAGAGTGCCTTGAGAGCTTCCAACATCTCCTACACAATTGGTAACAGAAGAAAGTCACTGGGACTGATTTTTAAATGTTTTCCTAATCTCAACCTGAAGTGTAAAGAAATCATGTTCAAATAATTTATTTCCATTAAACAATCCAAAAAATATTGGATAAGCTTCAAATTACTTCACAGTAAACGTATTTCCAGAACACAATAAGGGTATACTTACTTGTGCATAAGGGCACATATATATTTAAGGTCATTCACTGCAGAATTGTTTGGAATTGCAAAGATTACAAATACTGTCTATCTAATAATAAGTGGTGGCCCAAAGCCCTTCCTTCTTATTCATTACACTGCAATGTCATTTTTTTACACACAGGAGTCAAATTTTTATTAACAGCTTATTTTCAGTTACCTCTAGATTCATCTATCAAGCTCTCATTTTTACTTATCTTTTTTCTTTATGCGACACTGGCATAACCATTTACCTAGAGACTCCGGGACACAGAAGAGAGAGCTAGGTATGTCAGCAGCGGAAAGCTCAACTTAAGTTTCAGGAGATACTTGGGAGAGATGTGGACAGTTTATCTTGTAAAGAAATACAGCCTGGGCCCATTAATCACACATCGTGCTTAGCTAACAACAAAAACCAGTAGATACGAGTTCATTTGAGCTATGGGCAGAAATAGTTCTTTCACGCTGCAGATGCTCTCTCTCACCTCGACCACTGTTCTCAGGATCCCCCTAATCCCCATTCTCGTTGCAGTATTTTGGAATCTGCTCTTCTGCATCGGTTTCTTATCCTGCCCAGTGCTCTCCTCCTCTCTCTTGTCTCAGACCCCCGAACACCTCCGGGATTGGGTGGGGGAGCACTTCTCGAGGAGCCACGGTTCACCGACCCTACCCAGAGAGTCTTCGAGGAACCTTTCTAAGTAAGGAGCCCCTTCCCTCGGCCGGGGGCTCCTCCGGCTCCCCCTTCTCACCCGCCCCGCTCCCCAGCGCAGCCGATCCCGCGGGTCTGGGGTCACTCGCGTCTCGCTCCGCGGCAGGAAGACTGCAGTGGGTGCCGGACAGACGCCGCCCCCCGCCCGCCTCAGCCCCGCAGGGGACCTACAACCCCGGCCCTGCCAGCCCTGGTTACCTTGTCGTTATCCAGCCTAGTCTCCAGGATCTTATGCAGCTTGCGCGATAACGGATTGTTGGTGGGCGCCGAGGTCCCGCCTGCCCCATTGCTGAGGCCGTTGGCAGCCCCAGACGCCGGCACTGCGACCACTTCCCCGCTGCCCTCGGCCATAGCCCTGCGCGTCCCGACCCCAGTTGCTGCGCTGCCAACTCGGCCCGGGGGAGGGAGCGCGGCGGCAGCGTGAGCACTGCGCATGTGCGGGTCCTGCCGCGCATGCGCCCCAGCCCCGGAAGGCTCTACCTGGGTAACCCTGCTCAAGCTCCTGGAAGCGCCAGGGGTGGAGTTGTGGGAGGGCGGGGCAAAGTCCTCAAGTGGGAGGAGGAGATTTGTGGGATTAAAAGAGACTGGAATTGTGAATGCTTGACTTTACAAACTCTGTGTAGAATACACCGAGACCTGTGCCTAGCACATATGTTCTAATTAATTCTCTGTACGAATTCTTTTTTTTTGAAAAGTAGTTATCGAAGGCATAGTATGTGCCAGGTACTTTGGTAGGCACCGGAGAATCTACGTTATGTGTCCGAGCCAGACGAAGGGGTTAGGAGGTGTTGTCAGGTTGTGATGCGTGCTCAGAAGGAAAAGAGAACGGTGGTGGGAGAGGCCCACTTTACTCGGGAAAGTTTGGAAAGGAGTTTACACTTAAACCGAGATCTGATGGAGAATCGGAAACGTAAGGAGAAATCGCTCCCAGGTAAGAGAAAGTGTAATGTAAGTGCAAAGGCCCCCAAACAGGAAGAAACTTGGCTGTTCCACAAATGGACCAGAGTCAGTTTCACTATGAAGTAATGGACGAGGATGTGAGTAACAAATGAGAAATAAATTCCCAGGAAACTCTGAAAGACAAACATTGTTATTTTTTTCTTTCTTTTCTTACTTTTTAAATTTGAATCAAAACAAAATCCCTGAACTTCCTGTGAAGTATTTGTCTGAAATACCAGCCATTTAGCTCTTGTCATAAATTTACCTATTTCGTATATCTCTACATAGATAGAGATATACGGTATATCAAACTTCAGGGAAAATCATCTATTACACAGATCACATGAAGAAAGCACTGACGGAATCGTTCATCTCTACTCTGGTAAGTGAAGCAGAGAAGGCTGGACTAGGAAAAAAAAGACTAGGTATGAATTCGATAAGAAATATAAAGGACCTAGATGAGGAAAACATGAAAGTGCTACTGAGGGAACATAAAACTTAAGTAAATGAAAAGATACATTGTTCTCTCCAGCAGGAAGACCCAATACAAAGATATCATTTCTTTTTCATAGATAAATTTAAATTCAGCATAACCAAAATTAAAATGTCAAAGATGTGCATCAGTGTGTATATCCAAATGAATCTCAATTATATAAAACAATAATATAATGTCTTGTAGAGTTTACAAATATGTATGATTAAAAGGAATGGTAATGATAGAAAACAAAATGAAGAGGGGTTACAGAAGATCACATACTGAATGAGTTCATAGATACAAGCTTGTTTTGGGGGTAATGAAAATGTTCTAAAGTTAGATTGTCATCATGGTTACACAACTTTGTGAATATACTACTAAAAACTGCTGAACTGTACACTTTAAGTGGGAGAATTGTATGGTACGTGACATATCTCAAAGCTGTTTTTAAAAAAAGTGAAGGGGAGGTAAATAGACAAAATGTTTAAGTGATAAGAAAATACTAATTTATATTATAT